ACAGCCGCTCTCTCCATTCTTTGGAAGCTTTGATGCCCATAATGCTTGTGTTTTCAGTTATGAGATGCTCACCGTCAATGTAATACTCACGAACATTATTTCGGATTACACTCTTTGTTGGGTAGATTTAGGATGGACCAAAAGGATGTCGCCATGTCATGGCGTCAATACCTCTCATGCACGCAACTCCCCCCGTTTAATTATTCAAAAAAATATTTTAATGAGGCTAACTTGTTGCTAGTAGCAAACTTTCAGCGGGCCGTTCGTGGTTAGCAAATTTTTTAAATGATTGCTAATGTCAGCAAATATCTTAAGAAACCATTTGCAAATGAAGTGGTGGTAAGTGGTTATCAATTTGTAAGAGTAGACGAAAGCTTGCCAAAGTTGAGGCCTCCTTTGGTTTGTAGGATTTTTGTAGGAATGGTATAGGATAGGATTTTCAAAGGAAAAATTCTCTGGACCCCTTTGGTTTGTAGGATTGTATTCCTATTTCTATGTAAGATAGAAACCAATCTTTCACATTTCAAAGGAAAAAACAACAACATTAGCCTAGACTCAATAAAAAATATTTATATCCTATGCTTCAAATAACATCTCTTTTCCTATAAGAATTAAGATACATGTCATCTCATTTCATATTAATTTTTTATTTTATTTTAACATCAGTACAGATGCAAGCGCTCATACACGCATACACTCATCCCTATGAACGTACACACGCACACCCAACCCCTATGAGCACCTTCGAGAGACTGAGCCGGCATGTCATCTTGAAATTTACAAAGTCACCATAGGCGCTTCGTCGTCGACGGGAACGTCTTCTCCCACTAAAAACGCATCGCCGGAAATCCTAAAATAAATTCAGGGATAATGTGAGCACCAGGACTTAACCCTGAAGGGCTGGGATATTACTGTCCCTCTTCTATTGTTATGACATTCCTGTCGTATGAACCAAAAGAGTCTGAGGGTGCGTTTGGATCTCAAGCAAGCCTTACTCTAGCCTCGCCCAGCCAGCATAGTTGTTTGGAGGAGTAGAAAAAAGCTAGCTTTGCCTAGCAAACTAGCCTGCGTGAGCTAGAAAATCCTTGCCCGGACAGGAGAGCCGATTTGGCTCGTCTCCATCGGCAAGAATTGAACACAAGCATATTAAGCATGTAACTGCCGCTGTAATCGTGGTTTAGTGGAGGCTAGGCAAATGAACCAAACAAGTGGCCTTGCTTGTATGAGCTATGCCTAGAGTGAGCTAGAATCCTATTGCCTGGCTGGGCATGTTTAGCTAGAGAACCAAACACACTTTCAGAAGACACGCCTCAAACAAAGCTCAGAACTGCAGAGCAAAACGATCAACGTCGGACGTACACAGAAAGCATTATATTATACGTATGAAAATCAGAAACAACACCTTCTTCCAGTACTGCTTACATGTAAGAACATCAGAACTGCTCCAACCTCCAAGAAACATATTTTTTCTATGGATAATTGGAGATTATGATTAGTGATAGATAGGAATATAATATCGGCACGAGGTCTTCTGCATACATGGGGACGTGAGGCTGCTGCTGCCATTGCTGATCAGTCTCTGCTAGGCCCTAGCTTGCTGATCGGCCTCTGCTCCGAGTGGCAATATGTAAAAAGGCGAATCAATGCTGGCCGGGCCAGAGGAAGGCGCCCATGGCGAACCTCCTCTTCTCCTCGACGTCGCCGGTGACAGGGAGGCCGTACTCTCGGAGCAGGCAGTCGACGCGCCATTCCGGCATCGCCTCGTAGTCCGCCTTCCTGTACCGCGGGTAGTGCAGCGGTATCCGGAAGCCGCAGCTGAACGTGCCGCGCTCCTGCTTCTGCTGCTGCTTCTGGCCACCGACGGCAGCCGTGCCGCCGTTGGCCTTGGCCATGCTCACGCTCACTGCAGGGCCCAAGGATCCCATCTCTCTCTGTGTGTGTTTCTTTGCTGCCTCTGATCACCTTATAAATTACAAGCAACTCGTGTTCGTTGAGAAGGAAGTGCTAGCTGATGGAAGGGTTTTATAGATGGTGTGAGATAGAGGAATAATAATCCACCGTCTTGCCTGACCAGAGCGGTAACTCGAGCCAACCACCATTATCTGAAAGAAATGAACTGCAGGTGATCCGAATGATCGGGCACTTGCAATCAAATAGAGTAATAAATTCTGACAACAGCGTGCTCCGTCCTCGCCGGTGAGGCAGCGCCGTCGACCTCAGGGCGTCCATCTCCCCTAGCTCGCGCCGGCGTCGCTGTCGGAGTCAGCGGAGCACACGCCATCCCACATGATTGATCAAGGATGTGGCTACACGAGGCAACACTTGCAGACCAGCTGCATGATTAGGAGGTAACGATCAATGGACTTACCAGTTGGATCTCTTGCACACACCGGCGTGGCTGCAGGAACAGAAGCTTCGAGGATCATGGGACGGTGATTGATGGGTCATGGGTGGCCGTGTGGGGTTACCTGTGCGGCATGAAACTGTGCTCCAAGAATTTCTTTGCGAGCCTTCGGTTGTTGGGACGCAGTTTGGCACTTGGAAAGCAAAGGTGTAGACCAAATCTGTCCACTAGTTTTTTTTTCTTTTACAGTAAACAATCTGTTCACTACTTGATTCCTTGTATGATGATTCCCGGAAGTTCATTGCGCG